ATCGGCTATTTTCAGCTCCTATGGTCAGTAAAACGGGATTCCAAGAAACCGAACACAGTTCAACACCACGTAGGTCGGATGTATCTGTTGGGTATGAAGCTATGATTTGCTTTGCATGAGATACAACTTCTGGTTCATTTTCTGCATTTAAAATTCAGTTATGTTAAATAAGTTTCCCTACTTACCTTTGTTGGATGGGGTGATTACACGCTTTGGAGTTATAAGTGGCAAACAGTTCGAGACTCCGTAAGAACTCAAAAGATCACGCTGATCAACACAGACTTCTGCTGCCATCCTGTAAAAAGTAAGTGACAGAAACAAAGACATACAGTTCTTGTACCATATTTTTCGTCAACAAACTTTTAGTAGACCTGTTAACAAGGGCTTTTGGAGTTCGGCTTTTAACAGCGTCGAGTTTGGCTGAAGTCTACGAAATAAAAACAAATAAATAAATCATACCTCTCTATCAAACAGTTCCACATTCTTTTGTGAAATACGGTCGGGAAGATCAGAATTTCTTTGAAATGCTACATATTTCTCAGCAAGCGTAACAGGGTTCAAACCCCATTTATCCTTTAGAATATTAACTAATTTTAGTCACTTTCACAGCTGAGAACCTACGTTTCTCAACAACAAGTCTATCATCAACGGTAAGTCCGAAGACTTGCAGTTCGCCCTCAATTTCAGTTTCCGCCATTAGGACAAATACCGCGCCACTAACCGTCAAGGATACTTTTGGTATGAGTAAACAATTACTGACTTCAACCTGTGAATATGGATAGCTTGCAGACTCATAGATAATTTTGTTGACTCATTTGCCCAAGTTACCAAACATTTCTTCAATAAATGGGCTGTAGGACAGCTTTATTTGGATTCTAGCGCAGAAAATAAAATAAACCAAAATGTACGAAGAAGAAAAATTTATCCAAACGGTCTACAAGTCCACTCTTGTTAGTTAATTCTGTTGATCGCTTTGTTTTCTTGTCTTCACGAGTCTGACTACAGCTCTATTTTCAGTAATATAAGTCCACTTAGCGAAAATCTCACAATCTATCTTATTGTATATATATAAGTGCGTCAATGGCGTAGCGTTTAGGACGTTCGCCTACCATGCACATGGTTCGGGGTTTGATCCCCGGCCGATGCAGTCCTTTACCTCTCTAAGCCAGAAATAATGATGGTAAAGAGGAAATGTTGGACATTAGGTCAGCAACCGCATCCTGTAAAATTAAGCACTGATACAGAAACTTCAAGCCAATAGCTTGAAGCCCTATGTTCTAATGGGAATGTGAAGGAAAAAATCTTTTTGTATCAGTGGGTAATTCCTCAGAATTATTAGCCACAGCACTAATCAGTAAACACTTGATGCTCATCCTCACTGTTTAAGTTGATTTGGTTAGCCGAACGCATACGCTCAAGCATCCACGCCACTTTTCATGCCGTTGCATTACATTCGTTCGGTCGTAACACATTACTTAATTTGAACAATCAATTCGATAGTTTTGCTTTGCTTTTGTCTACACTGAACGAATGCCATAGAAGTTGTAGGTATTAGATATTGTGTTAGTATATCACATACTATCCGTAAACGCCTTCGGCCCCCTGATATAATTCTAGTAACGTATATACCGTATATGAACCTCAAATCTTCAGCCCATGTTGATCCAGATGATTCTGATACCGCACTTCATCCGCTAGAGCTAAAAGACAGTTCTTCTTTGTTCTAGTAATTCACGAGTAAAAATTATGCATTCCTTTCAGCTATGCACATTGTAAGGACACTTAGTTCTATCTTCTTCGTATAGCATTTCAATGGAAATGCATTAGAGAATGCGAATCAGCCACTGATTAACTTAAGTTTGTGCTATCAATCATCCTCTTTGTTTACCCACCAGGACCCCATATTTTCAACTGTGACAGCGTTGGATGCCTATACCTACAGTGTCAGTGAATCGGTATCAGTGAAAGAAATCTGGACTACTGCTGTGGGATGGAAATATGGTCGGATAGAAATTATGTTGCTTTTGCCTGATGTTATTTTTACAAATTGTTTCATGATAAACAATTCACGTTGCCGATAAGATGTTAGCATAATTTAGCTCTCCCTCATCTAGATACACTGTGCAAACAGTGTAAAAAATTATTTGATTTTGAGAACGGATATTGATGTATGACCATGAATTGACTTGTCTGACCAATTCCACATGATACAGGCAGTATTCAGAATGCCACACAAAAGACAAGAGGTGACAGTGGGTGTAACATTTCATCCTCAGTAAACTAGTCAAAAACCTCACTGGTGAATAACTTTATTTATACTTTGACAAAGGTTTCAGTGTATTGTAAATGGCTACTTCATGTTCATAGGCTGAGTCTTCATTCTCTTATCACTTTGTGATCAGACTACAAATCAACTCTACTCGAGTCAACAAGGTATCAAACTCAGAAAATCATGGATAGGCCAACATATCATAGACTATGTTAATGAATGTACGGAATGTCCAGAATTTGTCGAACATCCTCTGGACGCAGCCTGAGCACTCCAGGTCACGTGTTCACGTCAGATTTAAGGGGCTAATCTACGTAGATTATCATCTGTACTCAGTTGACGCTTGTTGAAATGGCTAAAAGCCACACTGGTAAACCCAACATTTACACAGAAGGTGGTCGTAAGTCCTCTCTGGTGTTATCTGCTGCTTCAATCGACTTAAATCTATCGTTTCGGATAGCGGACCCCAGTCTCAGTCTGCACAAACAGAAAATAACGCTCCACTGACATCCCACAAAGCACACACTATACTCACCTGAATATCCACAATCAAATGACCCAGCAGAAAACAAATAAAGAAGCTGTTTACACGGAATTCACTAAGAATTTCACGTACGAACTCATTAAATGCTACAAGAGGAGCTTTCAAATAGGCCATCAAAGAACATTATGGACATTAGGAATCCCTCAGACTTACCACTGTGGCTTACCGCCAGTCTTACTGCTTCCGAAATTCACCATAGTCGAACGCGCAAAAGTCATAATGTCCAGAATGCGTGGCAGTGCCAAATTCGGTAATGCAAAATGCACTCTTGTCAATGCACATTCGATGGAAGAAGACTAATTACTAATATTATGTCGTCAGTCGAGGTGGACGTGCCTGTCAATGTACAAGTAACTTTTATGTACACAAAAAATATTCAGGTTAAATCGGCATGCGGTAAAGCATCTATACAGAGAAATGTCGGTAAAACACAACCGTGGAGTCGAGATACCCCAACTTTACTCAGAGTACCTCGCTACGTGGTCAGACCGAATGTACAAATTGTCATTTCATACGGGGACTGTATTCATTGAAAGCTGGCCTGCCGCCTAACAGAGAGAGAAGATAAATGTTGCCAACTCTTTCGACAAATAAGAGACTGCTAAGGTCAACCCAAAAAAACCAACATAAATTGTATCGAAATATCTTACAGCTCTAAGTGGTAATGATCCTAACACTCGTGGTCATAATTTGTTTGTTAAATCAACTCATAAACTTCAAACGTTATTAAGCCATTTAATTAGTGTTTAATTGGTGGATGATGACTAGCATTTCGTCCTATTTATGAATTGTCATCCGGATGTACCTGCATTTCTCAGTGAGTGATGATGTTCCAACTGAGGCTCGAACGCAGTGCCCATAGTTTCAAAAGCGAAAGCGTTATCCGCTAGACAAGTCAACCACTAGACCCACCTCTTGTGCAACGGGTCGTGTTAATATTATTGAATTTCAGATTTTCCCGTTGGCCGATTGTACCGAAGTGCTCGGTCTCAGGTCGAAATGTCGGCTTCTTGTGCAGATGCTTTGACGAGGTCCGGGCATTTAATTAGTATTAATTGGTGAATGGTGACTAGCAGTGGAATTTAAGTTATTAAGCCATGCCTTATATACACTGACTCTGCCTCATAGTAAACGAAAAGCTCCTGTTGTTTAGTCAGTCATTTTAAGTTTTAGGTCCTTCTTGTACCATAAGGGCAACGGACAAACTTGGAAAATAACAGTACCACTGATCCACATTAGAATGCTAGGAGTCAAACTAAATGTTTTCTTCAGGGACATTCATCACCCACCATCCACCCATTATTCCTGACTGCATGTTATCTCACGAAATTTTACTCCACAAACAGTGTTTAAAATGAAGCACACAGCTTCAACTCTTCCGAGCGGAAGACTACCCATCAATTTACGATAAAATAATTCATCTGAACTACTGTGGTAGGTACCTTCCTTCAGTAATGGGGGCTTGTTACGGTCTCAGAGTACGAACACACACCGTGAAAGGTTATATGTCTAAGAAGTCTAGCAGGCCACACGTGAACTGAATTCATGTGGATCACCAAACCTTAACAGTACGATACGCTGATCACCAAGTGTAACTAAACTGTCGTTACGCTTACCCAATGAATAATATGTTCTACTAATCAAAACGAGGAGAAACGGAGGGATAAATGTACTGTACAATGATATCAGGTACGACTGTGCGAATAAAAATGCCATTCTGTGCAAGTGAACGTTTGTAAAACCAGAAGGCAGTTGAATCTCAATTTCTGTCTCTTTAGACACCACGAGGGTTAGAAGGTTGAATGTCTACCAGTGGAATCAAGATGGAATAAGCGAGTTCGACAGAGAACCTATATGTTGTGCGATAGACAGGCCTCTTCATGAAATGTTTCATTGTGGTGCCATGAATAAAAGAGTTTAAGAAGTGCTCCCTGCTAAAGAAAGCCCAAGATTCAATAGTGAAACGAAATATCAAGAAGTGAAAAATGAATCTGAAACACGCATAAGCTGATGCCGTAAAACAGGAAGATGAAAGGCATTTATCTGAGAAGTTAAAAAAATTATGAAATAAGCACATCTGACAGCTGTCACTCAGGATTTGTTTGTGATGGTCGAAATAGCTGCCGGTTGTTTCGACTTCCGTTCAATAATGTCGAGGCTCGTTGGGATTTATTATATCGGCTGACTATGAGTTGTCAGGCCTTCTCAAGAAACATTGGACCAGCTCTTATTGCTTGGTTTCTTCTGATATTTCTTACTGGCTTGTACTTAGTGTTTATGTAAGTGTTTTTTAAATGCTATTTGAAACTACTCACAGTTGTTGGGATTTTAGCGAAGAAACGAGTTATGCGTTCACAGCCGGACATTCGCTGCTTTTCTTTTTTGTCATTTCTGCTTTTGGTAGAGCGACGTTTATGGACCCTGGTTATTACGCAATGGGTGCGTTTGTGTATATCACAGTTATTTCCTAGGTGTTCCTGGTGAGAAAATGACTACGATGGAGAAGGGCTCTCCTCGCACTGTCATGTATAAATCTGTAGATATAAATGGAATACCCACTCGCTTGAAATGGTGTGTTACATGTGAGTTTTATAGACCTCCACGATGCTCCCATTGTTCAATTTGCAAGCATTGCATTGATGTAAGTCACACATTCCTTCTTGAACTTGTAGACATTTGATCATCATTGCCCATGGTTGAACAATTGTATAGGTCGGAGAAACTATCGGTACTTTTTCTCTTTTCTCCTCTCATTGACACTGCATATGATCATTGTTTTTGGTGTGTCAGTAACATACGTACTAATGCGTACAAACCAGCTTTCTCACTACAAAGTTATTATTGCGTATCCTTTATGATATTCCTGATAAAACTATTTTCGAGATTTTTAAGCTTATTCAAGACGATATAACAAAAGTAATGTGTACGCAAACACTGTCCACCTTTTTTGAGATTAGCTCAGGAGACTAGACATATCAATCCACTTTGTCTTCTGAGGATGAAATTTGTGTCCGTAAGACCACTGGAATATTGCATTGCGAAATTGCTGTATATATGTGTATATAATGACAATATATTCGTCCCACTCATTTAATCTATCATCACAAAGCTATTTTCGCACTCCCCAAGTACATTCTTATATTCACTTAGACTACTTTTGCTGCTGTGCCTTAACCTGCTCTTTCAGTATTGGTGTTTTGATCTTGGTGGGTTTACTACTGCTCCCCGTTTTGGGTTTGACAGGTTTCCATATTTTTCTTGTCAGCAAGGGGCGTACTACAAATGAACAAGTAAGTGCCTTTTATTATTCTTAATACATTTACTAAATTTTAAAAAGGTACTTGGTTTATGTCAGACCGATTTGTTCCCTATCGTTTCTGTTACATGTGCGTTTCGATCTGCTGATTTTCTCAAACATCACTTTGAAAGGCGTATTTAATGTAATTAGCTTTTAACTGCTGGGAGTGCACTGTCGTCATACAACTTTCGAGACTTCCTCTTATGGTTAATTTAGTTATCCACATTAATTGTGCTGTTCATATATATATATATATATACCATATAATTGTATAGATTTATTAGTCAGTCGACTCATTTGGAAAGGCATAACAATGCTAATTTAGTATTTCTTAATGGACAAAAGCCCAGGAGTTCCTTTTTGGCTGTTGCTGACCTAAGACACCTATGAGCCTTACAAAATATTTGGTCACCTATGAAAATATAACTATTTTATTGCAGTTTGCTCAGTATTAACCATGGATCCATTGTGAAAAGTAGCTGACGTGAAGTCATAAGTTACAGATATTGTCAAATAGTTTTTCGGGTTTGATTATGATGTCACTTAAGCAGTTCGGAAGTACATAATTTGTTCTGTATAAAAACTAAGCCATTTGATGTGTTTGACTATCCGTGCTGAAGTGACTTGAGTGTTTTCCGGCATAAAACTACCGTTTACCTTAACATGTAACATTTTTGTAGGATACATTTGGGATACGTTTAAATGAAAATAGACTAAAATGTACCATCGAATGGTAAGTTTCTGATCACTTAGTAAAAAGCACTCTGAATTAATTCACTTAGATTATGTTTTCCAATGCAAATACCACACAGTTGCTAGATCTGTCAGCTATGTCACTTATGCATTGAAAATGTAATTTGCAATATTATTAATATATTTTTCAGTTTGTTAGTAGAAAACATTACTATAATGTCTCATGAATCCATTTTAAATTTATCATGTAGCTTTGTAATTGTGTATTTTTAGCACACCGTCACATTTGCCTTGCTGTTATTCGACTTACTTTCTACACTTTTAAAGGTTACTTCGAAATATGATCTTGATATGAATCCCTATGATCGGGGTCTGTACAGGAACTGGATGAACATCTTTTGCACCTCCCAGTTACCAGTGTAAGTTTGCTTTGCTACCCTCATCAATCCCATTCAGACTCAATCGGTCAAATGTAGTTGAAGTGGATATGTGGGGAATATCTTATAATGGAAAATCTATTCCCCATCTACAGGCGTCGGATTTTCGATCTTCGCTTAATAATTCTGAACTTCCGAATAATTGTGTAAGTGTGAATAACAAGTTTTAATATCGTATAGATTTTTTATCTATGGTTTTAATAACGTAGTATTAACGGTGTAAAATATGCTCCCCTTGTTTACTGCAAGTTATTTCATCTACATTTGCTTTCATGGTTTTCCTGTGACTAGGAATAAACTTTTTTCAACCTTATTTATCCATCTATTCTGAAGTGATGCGCCCATGTGTGCCAACTTTTCTTGTTTTCATAGTTAGAACTCAGTTATCCGGAACATATTTTTCCTTTAACCAGCATTGAAGACTGATAATACCACCTAGTTAGTCGCTTTTTAGTAGTAGTAGTAGTAGTAATGCGTGTCTATCAAAAATATTTTCAATCCATAATATTATAACTTTTGTAAAATAAGGTGTCAGCTTCATGTTAAGAAGTCTTTTATTTGCAGAAACAGACTTATAGAAGCTAATCATTCGGGTCTTTCGTTCTGGCTGTTAGACTTCTAAGATGCTAATGTTGTGAACTTTTCTTATAATACGTATCTAATCATATTCATATCTCTATCGCTATTAACACTCTTTTTCCCCTTTATACTTTCAAGCCATTCCAGCTTCATTGTAAAATGAATAAAGCCTAAATTCTTGGTTCGTTCGTCTTTTCAAGATTCAAGCATCACTCATCGTTCTAAGACTCAGTCACCTTCGTAACAGCTAACGTAGGAACTACTTGCACAACTTAAGCAGGCATTAGGGTTTATTTTGTATATTTAGTTTTCTGTGTCGTTATGAGCCTCATATTAGTAAATACTTAGGGTATTGAAAGGCATTACACAGCTGTGTAACCGTCCACTAATTCTGGAAATAAAAGTCAATGTTTATAATTTATTCTCCTCAATTGGAGGAGTTTTAATATTCAAAAGACATACTTTTTAAAAATACACAATTCAAGTCAGTTAGAAATTGTTGTGGTCGATTCTCAGTATAAAAGCAGTAAAGATGTGGTGGACTGATGTAAGCAACACAATTCTCAACCGTTTTGTCCCAGGTTCAAATCTCCCACTACCTAATTCAGTCCATGTAACTAAGTAATGTGATCAGCTCTCAGTCAATAAATGTAGCTTATGGGTTACTATATAAAGAATCTGTTCCGAGTAACTAATAGTTCTTTAGAATAAATGTGTGATGCAGGTTAAGTTGAAGTCAAACAATTGTAATTGCTTTTGTCGTCCGGAGGCACCTGAATAAGGCAATATACACTACTCATTATTCGGAACAATAGTCATGGTCTTCATATACTGTTACATGTTATGACTAGGGAAATGAATTTAACTAATGAATTAAAATGAGCGTCCTGAAAGGGATATTTTTGTCAGCGAAATACTTGCAATTGGTTAAATAAGTGTTCCCGTTCTACACTACTACACCTTTCAGTTGTCTTAATTCCTAACTAGTAAGGTTCAGACTGCGGTTGAGAACAGTGCCCGTCTTAGCACATCCCTTGGTGCTCATAATGTACCAGGTCTGTTTTTTCAGTGATAATAATATTGGTGTTACGTTTTTTCTAATTACTTAATATCTCCAAAGCCTTGCCCATTTCAATGTCGATTGGTAGGCTCTTGTATCGTAACATGTCTTACTAAATCTCAGTTGTATAATTAGTTTTTTTGTTGATACACAATGGACTGCCATGTTTGTGTGAAGTCAATTAGTATCCGCACATGGAAGGTCGAGTTTGTGGGTAATCGTGGTAGGAGGTAGATTGGTTGACTGGTTTTTTCTCACTAGAGTTTACAAAGCTGAGTGCTTAAGGAAGTTAGTGTATAACAAGAGACTGATTATGTCCAGTAATTTCTACTTTTACCCTATAACCTTCTTACGTTCTGCTATAGAGCTATTTCTGGGTAAAATAACTAATGAATCTCATATTTCCCCTCAATAGTCAGATAAATTACTTCACTTCTTTCGCGCATTCTCCGCGGAAATTAACTGTTCGTCTTTCAATCGAATGACTATACACAACGTATGAAAAACTTTAATTTAGTTGTATATTGTATCACTTTGAATTTTTCTGTTTTAATTATTCTGCAGAAACCTTCTGATGACTCAGCTAACGCTGTTAAAGAAAATGCAATTGTTTGTGAGAAGACAGATTCAAGGAATAAGATTAACCATGCTACCGAACAACAAAATACTGCTGATGATGTGGTTGCCGGTGTTCATCGTGATTTAGACAATTCTCTTTTACCTAATGCAAACGGCAAAAATGCATCTGTCAATGACTCACCAAATGCTCTTGTTATTGCTGCTGACCAAGAAATGGTGTCCAGATCTCAGTCACCTGTGCATGGAAGAAGTGGTGAAATAAAAGTGAATTCCAACCCTTCTTCACTGGGAATAAAGTCAAAGTTATTAGGTAATAAAGATCAAGGTAAAGGCCAACAAACTGACACGTATACCCCGAAGCATATTGCAAATTTACATAGTATGGGTGTTGATTCAGTCTCCGCTGCTCAAACAGGCGGTAATGTTCAAATGGAAATTATGTCTAATAGAGATCACTTTGGCACAGCAGGAGATCATAAAACACCTTTGTTAAGATCCCAAGAAAATTCTGATGTCGAATTAATTCGTGGACGTCAGTTACAAAAATTCACTTCAGATAATCAAAGTAAATCAAGTAATTCTCTTCAACGTAAGCAACAAGAGCAAGGTATCACTGTTGGGATTGGAAGGAGTTCTTCACGTGATTTCAATCCTTCTCGTTCCAGTGAAAACACGTGTCCACGCACCTCTTCTACTTCGATGATGAATCTTCGTGATCGTGTTAGTTTATCAACGAACACGAGTCCTGCTACGTTTTCTCAATCACGATATGGTACTGCTCAGGATTTGAATGTTACGCCATCTTCACCCAAGTCTCATTCACCTTTAACTGTTCGTGATATGCATCACGGTCTTTCTGGTGTGCATACTTCTAATCCTCAGTTTGTAAATTATCCGCACAACAATGTGTCAAAGGGTTTCATGAAATCAGTGAGATCTGATCATCGTCGGCATCCACCCACCCATCAGGTTTCTCGAACACCTGGTACTCAAGGAAATCAAAAACATGTGCTGTCTCACCATAGTGGAGCTATCCATCAGTTGCCTCCACAGTCACCTCATGGTCTTCCTCCTCCTTTACCTCCGCATGGTTCACAAATGAGTATCCCTCATGTCCGTCCAATGTGGTCTCCTGTGGTACCTCCTCATGGTCTTTCTGTATCATCTCCGTATTTTTCGCCGTTTGATACAACCAGTCACTTGTCTGATGGTGCTCCCACTTCTCACCTTCGTTTAGTAAGACCGCCTTACTTTGGTAATCCTAATATCTGTCCAGTTGATGAATCCCATTTTTTCATAGACAATTCACGTCTAAATGAATCATCGGTTTCTAAAAATATTTCCCACTCCTTTGCTTCAGCATATAACCCTTCAGTCATAACACAAGCTTCATCTCGTCCTACTCCACCCTTACCGCCGCATAATCGCATTGTTAGTAGATCTAATGCACCAAATAATCGAATGCAGCTAACCGGTCCAAAAAATGCTAATCATTTAATTCCTGGATGGCAACTTGAAGGTGATTCTAGTTCTCCTGATGGAACTTTTGAGATCTCAGTTTGAATGAAATGTGTTTTCCTAATATATTTGCCTACTCAATCGCTTAAAGTAATTTAACCAAGTTCTTTCATATTTTTTCTGTTTTGTTTCGTTTTGTATTCTAATTCATTTTTGTGTTTTGTGGTCTTTCATAGTATCTTTTATTTATTTATATATATATATGTGCCAGGAAGATTCTTTTTCCTTTTCTAGGTAACTTGTATTCTTTTCTTGAATGTATGTATGTATTTGTGTACACAAGCATTGTAATTATTATATACAGCTACTCTTTAGTATTTGACATTTATCATCGGAAAAGAAGAAATTATACAAACAGTTGAAGCTTTTTCTCCAGCCAACTCTAATATGTGCAATAAATTCAGTTTTGATTATCTCTCAATATCTCTCTCTATCTGTCTCTCTCCTGTAAAATTCATTTACTCTTTTTTCTTGCCTTGTATCTTGAAAAGACACAAAAAAAGCGTAGAAAAGACTTATGCATGCAACGAATTTTAAATATGACAGAATAGGAAAGTTATGTGATTATCATCATTATTATTGTTACTGTTATGCTTTATTCATTTATTCATTCTTGTATAAATTGACACTAATATGTAATGTAAGCTTATAGTTCAATTATTATTGTTATTATTATTATTATCGTTACTGTTATTATAATTGTCAATAATCATAGACTTATTTCTGCTACTGCTGCTGATGACTTTATTGTGCTAATTTTATCTTTAGTTGAACTTTGCTTTTGAAGTGATGATTTGCTTTTCTTTTCAATTATTAAAGCTTTATTTCTTTGATTTTACACATGATCTTATTGTCCTGTGGCCTTCATCCATCCATCGTCAATATGATCCAATACAAGGATTGACTTTAGGCTGCAATAATAATATTAGTCATATATAAATATATTACTTAACAGTGAAAAAAATCAGTAAAGTACTTCTTTATTTCTTTCTTCATGTTTATGTCAATTGTGTATGCAGAGAACAATGTTATTTCCTTTGATTTTATTCGCATGATTGATAGTAGTCTAAGGATTTGAGATCGAATCTATTCCTGAGTGGTGCTAATGCTAGTGGAGTGGTCTTGTAGCTAAGATTATCCCTCTCTCTCTTTCTCTTCCTCTGTGTTGGATCTTAAATGTATTTAAAATTTTCCTTTCAACATTCTCTGTTATCTTTTTATCACCTTTTAAACGAAAATTGTAGGTTTGATTCAATAGATATACGCGTATATATACATATGTATATATATCCTTTTTGTGTTATTGTACGTTAGGGACTATGTATGAATACAATAAGACAAGAAGTGAATAATCACTTACGTGTTCTGTACATTAACCTAATTCCTATCTATGCTAATATGTTGTTACACTTCCTCTATTATTGTTGTATACATATTTGACTGTCCTACTTGCCAATTGAATAATTATAAATATACGATTAAAATATATCTGTGTTCTTTTTTTGATTTCTGTCTGTTTGTCCTTTTTTTGAAATCCTAATATATTTATTATTTCGGTGTTGTAGTATTTAGACTGTTACCGTTTTCCATTGAGATGATATTTCCATTCGACTTGACCTGTATATATATATATATATATATAATCACTCATATGATCCATCAGTTTATTAGTTTAACATGAACGTAAAAGCTAATGTGATATATTTTCCTATCATCACTATCAAAGGCTTACGTAATCACTATCCAAATATTCTATTCACAGTGATGAAAATTAGCTTTATGACTTCATAAATTTCAACTGTTCATTATGCATACTACCCTGGAGTCGGGGTGTACATATTACCTGGAAAACAAGGTCTGCAGTAGTACAAAATGCAAAAGAGGTCGAATGAAGAAGCTGTTAAAGTGTATTGGAAAAAAAAATAATTAGTGTATCATGAAAATTTCGATTAGGCTATGAATAAATCATATTATTTTAAACATGATGAAATGTCTTAAAGTTTGTCATACTGCAATTTGATTCACATAACTAAAATACTATATTTTACTTCTTTGAAAGACTCAATGAAGGCTTTCAAAGTAGAGGGATGGATAAAACTACTCAGTTCTTTTTTATATCTTATATTATTTCATTATTGATTCACACTAAACCAACGACTTGAGATGTTTGGTGTAAAGGTAGCAGGATGGATTATCTTTCTAACTTTCTGCATCAGTGGTATACTGGTAGAAGGGCTTGTCAGCCATGTGGAATACCCCGGCCGACGCCAGCGCTAAAGCCTTCCTAACCGGTGGTAGGCCGGTGAAAGAAGTAAGGTTAGACTTGAAGTTAACAACCCCACTCCATACAACACCACTGTCGCTGAAACTTCAAAGCTTGTAGTCCTACACTGCAGTCGAAACGCTGGGAATGAAAAAAAGAGATAAGAACCCAAAACTTTGCTATCAAGTTTAATTTCTTTTTAGTATGTAAATATTTATTTGCACAATGTGTTGTCATGCTGTGAATGTATTTGCCTTATGATTAAAGTATAGTAATGGTAACAAAAATTTATTCTTTTAATATAGAATTGAAAATAAAACCTATTTTAACATGGCTTCAAGTTTATATGATGATTTAGATGTTTTGGACGGAACACCACTTGATAATTTGGCATCCTCGTCGAATGACTCATCGGATAAGTCAGGAAGCGTTCCGTTAGTCGGTCTACGTGTCACTGCCAATTGGTCTGAAAATGATACTGCCTCGGGGGGTCAGTATGGTACAAATGCTTCAGCTTCTGCAAATTCTACTTCCAGGTAAATATATATGTGTATGTCATTTTCTGTGGTATTATGTGCTTTTTTTTAATATATGCGTGGAATTAGTTACATTTTTCAATTGTCTTCAAGGAACAAAGTGTGTTCACTACTACTGTTTTCAAGAGTCTCCTTCCTTCCTGTATGGAGTCTCTTTCAGTGTAGTGAGTTGGATGCTTTAGTTGTTGATATTTGAAGTATGAAGAGGCTTTGAACATATTACTAATGGAATTGAATCTTTAAGTGACTCGCCCGCTTTAAATGTTTGTTCACTAAGTTTCATCACTAATGAATTATGATGTAATGCAATCGTCATTGCAATGATTTTTGTTTCTTTTTTAAGTTGATCACTCCTCAGTTATATTTCCACCCTATTGTGTATATCACATTTTTGTTTAATTTAACCAGGAAATTACAAAAATGTATCGTTGTTTTATCACTTCCTATTTTCTTAATTATGTTTTTTTGTGTGAATATACATGTAGTAGCTTTAGTTGTTATCACTGTGTTTTATGTACTAAGTTTTGCATACTTCCTTTATATATAAATACGTTTACTAAATGGATGAATCAATGAACTCTTCTTCACAATACTAAGAATCTCAATAACAGTATTCTGTTTGAATAAAGCTAAAACGAAATAAGGTACTATCATGGTTTATTTCGTCGACTTCCCATAGGATATATGCAACAGTGGTTAGGACTCTCGCCGACCATGTACATGGTCCGAGGTTCGATCCTCTGCCGACGCACACCTGATATCTATGGTCGGCCTGCGAAATTTTGGCTGCCCATATCCATGCTGAAAATTTCATACTTGTACCAAAAATACGGTGTGGAGTGTAGCTGCAAATCAAAAAAAATAATAAATAAAAAATAAATTTACAGATCACTTTTAACATACTTGCAAATGTGACAAGATGTCAGTTAACAGGTGACTCAAAAATTCATGAACAGTGCTCAGATGTTATACTTAGATAAGTTTTATATAGAAGGCTCACGTTTAAAGTAAACAAAACCAAAACATTTAATAAATGTTTAAATACAACGGAAAAGAAGTTGCATAATAAAGACGGGAGGCACAACATATGAAAGTTGCATAGCAATGTAGTGAGTTCAGTTTAAATCATAGGTGAAAAAGACAAGCAAAATTACAGTATTTCGAAAGAGGAACAGGTTACAGCCGCATAATCAAATAAAATGGAGAGTAAAGGCATCGAGTGACCAGGACAAAAAGAGACTGAAAACCACTTCAGCCTGAACAATTAAATCGAAATTCAAGCGTCAGACTGAGGAGAGTTAAACTATTTCGTCTGTTGAAATCCTTCAAAATTATCAATAGGAAAAGTAGTTTAGCTCTTCTGAAGCTTGTCGAATAATCTGCTATCAAACAGTTGAAACCCGATTTATCTGTTCAGAAAGAAGCAGTTCTCAGTCTTTCTTTGTCCTGGTCACCCTATGTCTCTACTCTCCCATTTATTTGATTACGAAATCTTTGGTTGTAACCTCTCCCCCCTTTGCCATAATGCGATTTGCTTGCCTTTTTTGTATGATTTGAACTGAACTAAGCACATTGTTACGCAGCTTATTAGCTACTTATGATCTTTTCCACCTCTCGTTTTTATTATGCAACTCCTTTTCCACTGAATACAAACATTTATTTAATCTCCTAGTTTCATTTCGTTTAAAGCTGAAATTTATGTGTCTAAGTTATAAGTGTAGTTTATTAATTTTGCAGTCTTCTATTAGCTGACATCATGCCACATTTACAAGTACGTTAAAATCTCTCTGTAAGCTTAACAAATTATTTTCTAGACTGTACGTAGCTAATAAGAATCACATGAGATAAATGGTGGTACAATCTTATTCTTCAGAAGCCGTCGTTTATTTCTTCATTCTCACTCATAATGGGAGATAAGTGTATGAAAGTACCCTGTGCGAATGGGTCTCCAGACACGAAACTGTGAATTTATCTGGATTTAAAAGTGTTGACCGATAACTATCGACCAAAAAGCCATGACACTGATGTGTACTGTGCTTCAGTTATGTTATATTAGATGGTTTGTTCAGATGTCACTAATAACGCAGTGGATATTTATAATATCTTTTATGTTATTCTGGGTAATAGGAACAGGGGGTGGAGGAAGATTAAAATGCTTACATTAGATGCCTTTTTAAAAGGAAAGCCATGTGCAGAAATGACGGAATTCTTCTGCTGCAGATAGTTCCTCTGGTTTGTAGAAGAACGGAAATTTCAGTTGGCTTCGAATTGTTCAGTCAAAATATGAAATCAGTGATTTAAACACATTACTCTGTTAGAGAACCATTGGAAAACCTAGGAGTACTGGACTTGCCCTGTTCAGGTAGGTAGTTACCTAGGGTTCTAGTGAGAAGTCGTGACCAGTAAGCTGCAGCAGATCGAGTGTGAGAACAAATACTCGCCGAAGACATTGGCTAGCGGTCGCGCTATGTCGTGGATTGGCAGAAATTAGAATTCATGGTCCATAGGATCGGGTCCCAGTGGCCTAATGGCCTACGAGCTCGCCTTGTAACCAGAAGGTCCTGGGTTCGAATCCCGGTGGGTGCATACTGTGAAGTCCCAAACTAAGACGAAACAGCTGTCCAGTACTCCTTGGCGCATGGTTTTCCAATGGTTCTCTAACTAATGTCAGTTCATAATGAAATTCTGTAGCCAATCAAATCCCTACAAACCAACACTTGAACATTACTCTGTGTTTTTCGTTATCCATTACTACATTCTCTTCTGGTTCATCTTAGTACTGTGCCCCACTTTTCGTTATTTTCTGTATTCTAATTTCAACTTCGAAATTCTTGTTTCATTTTCTTCATTGGTTGATTCCATTGCTTCAACTCTTTGATTTCTTCAAGCATAGTTCATTTCTTAGTTCTCCATTGTATCAAGTTTAAAAAGTTGTTTGAGTGGTATGTGTTCTTTAATAGAATGACTAATCCTTAGTAGGTGGTAGATCGGATGACAATTTTCAACGCTTTAACAACGCATATCGATTTGTGTATATTTATGGTAACAAATACATGGGTGGTACGGATAATCGACTTTCTACTCGTACGACCTAAGTAATTGAGACAAGTCAAAGAAAAGATACCTGAGAGATCAATAATCTCTCCCGTTAAGTTGTATAATACGGTAAGCAATATTAAGGTTAGATGTCAAGTGTTGAGTAAGGAATATAAGTCAATTGATGAGGTTGTGAAGCCACATCGATTGAGATGCGTATAATGCGTGTTAAGCCGCCACCCTCCTGATGAAGCAATGTTAGCTGACATAGTATTAAGTTGGCAGAAAGTGTAGGGTGGTCAAAACAAAACCTGGCATTTAACAGTGAAGTCTTTGATATTTGGTTGAGCCGCATGGGAGATGTAGACTATTTTGTTAGAGGTGGGGGACCTCAGGATACTATGAACTAGTGGTTGGAGACTGTTGGTGACAGCTCAAAATCATTCTCATTAGCATAGATACGTTTATTCTTCTTATTCTCCTAGATGCATTAAGACCTCATGTGTTCCATGTCAGTTTTCTTTCTTTGTCCTTTACATTTCTCTTTATTATAGTTGTTTTAGGTTTCTTTTTCTTATGTTTTCTCTACCTGTTGATTCATGAAGAAAATAAAAGATAATTCAGTCAAGAAAATCTCCTTTATCGACGAAACCGTCCTGAGAGGCTGTACAGTCGTATTTATATTCATGTTTTTGGTAGATGTATCAAGGACTCTAAAGGTGATTTCGTCGGTGAAGAAAATTTCCTCAGCTGAAATGTCTTTTCTTTTCTGTACCTTTGTATGGTCCATGGACCCTGGCAACTCGAACTGCTGCGCTTCTGAGCAAAGTTCTATGTTGAAAGTCAGTCAGTTAGTTAGGTAATATTTCAATAACAAAGCATCTATTTTTTTAATTATGGATATGATATTTACGTTGTCAAGTCATTCACCGTTGTCAGTAGAAAAACAAGCAGAAAAATACTTTGGATTTCAGTGTGGTACGATTAAGTCTAAGTGGTGTGGTTGCTTTGAATTTCATTGCCTGCAGTTTCGTGCTGACTCTGCCATTCTTATTAATTATTATTTTTATCTTGGTTGTAAGTCAGTAGTACCATTATCAAAAGCTTTTTACTAATCTTATATCTCCTTCCAGCTTATTTTATCATTATTCATTTTTATTGATTATTTTTCAATATTTATTGCTTTTATCTTATTTATTATTCACTATTTAGTTTATAACAATACTAAATTCTCTCTCTGAAAGCTAATTATATTTATTTTTATGACATAATAAGACTCTAATTTCATTACAGTATAAACTTTCAATGCTCCATAACCTTTCACCCTTGTTTGCATATTTGAACTTGACCTGTAAAGCATCTTTCAACCTTGTTTTTGTTACAAATTGATTTTTTGTGGTTAATTTATGTGTGACATTTCTGTGTACATTTCACTCAGTATAAAATTTAATATGATATGTACTGTTTTCAGCTAATGTGTTCCACCGAAATTTAATGAAATCGTTGAAACCTGTTTTATTAACCTAAACATCTCTCTGGGAGATTCTATAAAGTCATTTCATTGACTGTTGGTCTAAGCGGAATTGGTAGGCTTAGATCCTTCGTTCAGAAATTTCATGTTGCTAATAAACGATAGTTAGTGTTGTCTTCTGGTAGTACGCCTTAGGATGATCCATGTAGATACATTCAACCCTTGTTTTTAAGTCAGTTTTCATTTTCCCGTTGATTGATTGCACTGAAATGTCCAGTCGCCGTTAACATATTGCTTCTTGGCTCCTTGGACGATGTCTAAAGAGGAATTTTGTGACTAGCACTGGAATGCAGGATAATAACTGATGTTGGTTGTATAAGAGGTAGCTGTCGTGACGCAAGTGGTCTAGTGAATAACACCTAACTGTTTGAAACGATGGGTAATGAGTTAGAGTCTCAATGAGAACACCATCAGTTGCTCATTGGGGAGTGCATGTACATCCAGATGAGGAGTTCCAAAAAGACCGAATGCGTACTGTGGATTCCATTACTCCTTATCATCCAATCATTGTCAATATTTTTGCGGGTTAGTCCATTACAAGCATAATATCTTATACACTACTCTAGTTTCGAATAACTTTCATCAAATTATTTTCATAACCGTAGGTAGAATTTTGTCTTCTCTGTGGGTTTTTTTTGACTTCTTACAATTTTAATCTTACGTCATCAATGTCTAAAAATGTGTTATAAAAGTGAAAACCAACATAATATTGCATGAAATTTATTTTCAATTTAATCCTATCAAAGTCTGTTACATCTTATTGAAATAATATTTCATTTTCAGTCTCAAATTAATGCAATCTCACATGGCTGTGAAGCGTGCTCAAGGCCGACGTCCTATAATGGATGCCTCCAACACTCAGTGGAGTTCTCGTACAACATTAGCTCCAGTTGTCGATTTGAAACAACGCGTAGCACATGTAGATGGTTCCTATAGGTAACGTAATTATTATTGTTACTATTATTATTATTATTTCAATGCAGTGCCTTTTTGTATAGAGTTTAATTTAAAGTGTCGCTTTACAATTTTTAATAATTCCTAATTGAATATCACATCATATTACATATTCCTTGAGATTTTGTTGTCAAGCTATGTGTTCATACCAGTGTGTCTCCTAGTTTTATATTTACTGGGAGCTTTTATGAGAGTTGAAATTCAGTTTATCCTATTGATTTTCTTATTTCACCATTCCGCATGATGTTTGTTAAAGTTTGTTGTTTAAGCCTTGACAGGTAAAAATATCAATATATTTGTTAGCTTTGTTTTTGTGTTTTGTTAATTTGTCTCTCTTCTTTACTTAATAACTGTCTAACTAACAGTTTGACAGGAACTAAGTATTCAACTTCGATTAAATGAATCAAGAACAACAGTGGTTTGTGCAGAATAGTATGGTACCATCATTTATTTCGTTGGCTTCTCGTCAACTGCTTACAGCCTGAATAAATTATTAAGTTTATGTACAGAGACAACTTTAACATACTTGCAAATAGATTGTGTTTTTTCCATTGACATTATAACCTCCGTCTCCTCCTTTTCTTCTTCATATCACAAATATTCAATGTATATTAGTTTTATGTATGTTGCGTTGTTGAATGGCACTTAAAATCCAGTCTCTACAAAACATAATGAAGATATTATTTATTATTATTATTCCCCTGAGTTCCGAGTGGAAAATAGGACTTCGCCAGCACACTTCCACATCTTTCTGTTCTCTGCAGCTTTTTCGTGACTGCCTCCATTATTGTCTATAAGCTTTCATTTCCTCCTCACACGACCTCCTCGATGTCACCCTTGTCCAAATCACTTACCGGTCCTAAGCCTGGTAAATTAGGAAAGGTTGGGCGTGGGATTAGCGAAGCTGTCTCTAGAAATCAACCCTACATCCTTCATTTCATGAATTGTGTTTACGTTTGTAAAATGAAGTCGAAGTTCTCATCACTAATCTTTACAAAGCACAATTAGATTCAGAATGTAACGCTTAGCTACGTATGCAGTCTGTTCAAGGAGTTTATTAAATCTATATCAAATTTTAAGTCTTCTTGTTCAGAAGTTATCCTTTTCTTTCTTACCGGATTCCTCTTCGTTGCTCTCTTCTCCTCTTACATTAGATAATGAATGATGTTATAACTGAAACCATTGTCTTTTCTTGAGGTTCTCACTTTGAGATAATCAATGACAGCCTCACATATAGCTGTTGACCTTCCTATGTCAGTTAAATCGCATTTAAATTGCATTTAGTGGAAAACCGGTTATAATTTGATTGCATTTCAACTTCGTACCACTGCAGAAAATATGGCTATTTAAGTTACATAAAAATCATTTTTTTGGTCTGAAACCTAATTCATATGAACTTATTTCACCGACGTAGCACATCTTCCGAAGGTGATATTGTGTTTAAAATCAAATTCAAGAGTACTCTATTACCAACGTGATTCATATTATTAAATTTATTAAGATTCAAGACCTTAATATCGCATTCTTCTTATACTCTTCGTATAATCATAATGTGGCAGATAAGTGATACGTTTTTGTCAAGAGATACGAATATTTATGTGTAAAGATCACAAATCAATAATTTTGATAGATAATCAACTATCACTTGTGATGATTATATTTAGACTGAAGGCAACAGCTGGTCACATAAAACCCAGAAAATGTTTTCAAAGTTTTGTTATATCGATGCACAGTCGTAAGTATTGGTTACAACTGCTACCTATATAGTTATACACTTGACTTTATAACTAATAGAGCTAGAGGTTGAAACCTGGAGATATCAATCTTCTTTGATCTCAGTGACTCGACTGCATCATAATACGTGTGATTCGTTATCATGTGCCCCTGGCTGTTGAAAACCCTTTCATTTTCATCAATATTTGTCAACTGTTGACTGAAGTCAGTGTTGCACTCACGCAAAATTGATACATTATCAGCACCAAGCGATGCGCCAGACAAAATCTAATAGTTTGTGTGAGGACTGAGATACTGCCCGGACACCCAGACCAAAACAGGTGATTGCTTAGAGGGGCGATTCCCCGAGCCTTTGACTTGAATTGTGACCCATCAGTCAGTGAAGAACAGCACTAGGAGTTGTGTTCGCATGGTTACCTATGAGCAAAACAGGTTCGTACACCATTCGATCCTTCTGGATACTAGAGCCCATGCACACTATTGGTTTGAAACCAGGTTGTCTTTCAGCTTCTCTAGGTAGGCATGAATACCCACCAGTCCGGTTGTAAGCACCAGTCATTCACGTTTGCCCTTTCACTTTTGCTGACATACCGTCACTTCCACCACGAAAATACAGTGAATAGGACTTACCTGGCAAAGGTTATGAATTCTTTGAAAATTTCCTATTATTAGTGTTAAGAAAAGAAGGAAACACGTTGCCGACGCATAAAATTTATTTCTATAATAGATGCATTTGTTTCATTAAACACATTTTCTTTCATTAATTCACTTGTTTTGTTATTATTTTATTTTCACATTTCATATCTACATATCAGTTTCAACTACCCTGAATATTCCAACTGTTAAATTTTATTTAATTGTGCAGTATGTATTGGAAATTATCAATCTCCTTATACATCTCTTATTTCATAGTCATAAGTATCTTCCCAATTATTACTGTTGTTTAAATTTTTGATCAAGAATTGACTTCAGTTAGGGAACCATTGTAAACCATGGAGTACTGAATAGCTGTTTCATCCTTTTTTCGGGACCCTTGAGCAACAAACACCCACGACTCCTACCAGGAATCTTAACCAGGAACTTCATGTTACGGGTACTTAGCAATGATACCGGCTAGTGGTCGCGCTATATTTCGAATTAGTGGAAGTCTGAATTCAGAGGCTGGTAATTGGTTTCCGTTGCAGTAACTGAGTCGAATGTGAATTCCTCTTGTGACCTGAAGGGTTTTGCTATGATCCCTGATAAGGCCATGGCTGTTTACTGTCGAAGAGTCCTAAACAAAAACCAAACAACTTTCCAGTACTCCCTGGTTTTCAATGGTTCTCTAACTGCAGTTTATTCGCGATCAAAATTGGAATAAATCAAATCCCTGCAAACCAACATTTGATAGTTTGAAATATTCCCATATTATGAATTAAAAGTCAATCTGAACGAAGAATATTCTTTTCAATAATTTCTCTTCAATTTCTTACAATTATAAAATATAATATTTGTGGTCGTTACATTTGACAACATTACTATTGTATTTGGCTTCCAGATTACCTCTGTATTGTTTTAACGACTATTACGTAAACGCATTAGTCATTTATTCTGATCACACTCTAATACTGCCTTAGTGTTGATAGCAGCAACAAATTAATGTATGTGTATAGGACTTTCAATTAAAAATATTTCATTACAGCCGTATGTTTAACATGTAAGCAGGTTTCTAAATATATCTCATTCCTAATCTTATGTTTACCTTGATAATTGGCTATCGTGCGTGTGTGTGTGTGCGTGCGCGTTAATTCGATTTATTCACTGAGTTTTTTCCGTAATTTTACACTTGAAATGTTTATTAGTACCACATTGTGTAGTAGGAATTTTATTGTCTACTTTTTATATACTTTATTTTGAAATGTTCCGTCAAATCTATGCCTGTTAGTTGGCTTCAAGTAGCTCACTATATGCATCTTTGTGTATCGATACTCTACAGATTTTATTTGGAAAAAAGCTGTAATTAGGCGTGTAATAGAAATAATAAGAACACATGCATATTTACATGTTCAATGGCGTGTACTATTGACTGACTGACTTGTATGAGCAGTAATCGCCTGTCAGATCGAAGTAGTCCGATTCATGTCTTTGTGTTGAGTCAAACTGGGTGCATCATTAATGAGCTCGGCCTCAAACGAGCGAAGTAGCCGTCACTTCGATAACCTGCCTAACAAACACTGCTAGTTCATGTGAGCCGTACCAAACTACTCATATCAGCCAATCTGTAGTATGCAGCATCATGCATTTATGTGTGCTTACACGGCTGCCCTTCTGTGGTATCAAGTAGAATACGGGATTTTGTGATCTGTAGTGAAGTTCCACATTGAATTGTGTAATTTGCAAGTTGCGAATACATATTGATGATGTGTAACAACTAGATATGGGTATGGACGTGGAATTACGTCGTATTATCCCCAACATGTCTAGATAATTTGTCTTGTACATGGCTACTTATAACTGCTTATGTTGTCATTACCTCTAAGTGAACTAAATACCAGAAATTGACAGAAGTTACAGTTAACCTCCCAGTGGCTGAAAGGTTAACCGCCTATCCTCCTAACGTGATGGTCCTGGGTCCGATTCCCAGCGTGGTCGTGGTTGCGCACTGGTAAAGATTGCCAATCTAGGACAAACACCTGTCCGGTGCGCTCCTTGATTCCTAGCGATTCTCTAAGTGATGTCGGTTCGTGGTGAAATCTATCCAAACCCCTAAATGACACAAAATCTGAATATCAATACTGTAAAAATGTTCATATACTTTAATAAATTGACTTTAAGAAAGAGAATAATAAAATTATATTATACGATACACAGAGACCCAAAGGAATAGAATTACAAGGGAAATTAGTTCAAATATAGGCTTGTAGAGATTTGATTGATTGGTTACAGAATTTCATCATGAGCTTAAATCGGTTAGAGAACCATTGAGAAACCTGAGAGTTACTGGGTAGCTGATTCGTCCCAGTTCGGGACCCTTCATCAGTACGTACCCAGCGGGGTTTGAATCCAGGGCTTTCTGATAACAAGGCGAGCTCGTAGACCATTAAGCCACCGGGTCCTGATCCAATGGCCAGGCTAGGAATCCCACTTCTGCCAATTCATGACAGCTTGTTAGTATGAATGGAAAGATTACACAAATATTGTAGAATTGTTAGGAAGGGAGAGTAGATATTAAATAATGATGTAAATATTAACAGTATATGTGTGAACTT